ACATGGCCCAGCAAAAAAAGATGAGTTGTATCAACATCCATGCCTTGGATTGGTGGCCCTTTCATCGAGTGTCCATCTTTGTCTTGTCTGCTGGTCATGTGATATCAAGCACCATCACCTAGAGCTGCCCATTCACTGTGGGCTGTAAGTAGAGCAGGTACCGACTGACATGTCCAGTAGCAGTGGGTGAACCTGGCACAGGATTTGAATTTTTATTCTAATCCTAATTAAGTTCCAACTTAGAACATGCCTAAATTTTAAAAGCATATTCCATTTGGCTACAAACCACAGCCAGATTGAAGATTAGCAAGGTACCTTCAAATGAGAAGTATAGCACGTGTTGAAATATATCCAGCATTGTTTCAATGAAATTGACACTGCTACCATGACCCCTCTCCATAGGTCAGTGCCAAAATAACTTAAAAGGGGGAAGGAGACAAGAACTTTAGTGTTTAGATTCATAAACAATTAGAAAGTTTTATGACACCCACAACATGAAGGGAGGTAGGCAAATAGGTTTTTGCTTCCCTCGTCACAACCAACACCACATTCATGAGCGAAGCCAGAATATTTTTCTAGTGCCCTATGATTAGGGAAAACATTGATGATAAAATGTTACCGAAAACTCACATATCAGCTCTTTGAATTCTATTTTTTAAAATCATGATACTCTAGGTAGAAAGTAGGAAAGAGAAAAAACATCCTTAAGCAACTCGTTGAAAATAACTACGCAAATCTATAACAGTACAAGGTTCTTTTACCTTGAAGTAATGATGTCAATTCCTAGGCAGAGAATGAGAGAAAGGAAGACATGAAATTTCTGTTTTGAATTCTTTCCAATTATGCATACATTCTAGGTGTTTTTAGGAGTACTGTATGAGAGATCTCTATAGCACCAGGCCTCTGCAACATTAAATCATTAATGCTGTTTAGCAAAACAAAAACAAAAAACTTCCTCATTATAGTTTTTAGTTTTTCTAGTTTGGGATAGTTCTCATTTCACATAAAAATGTAGATTAGCAAACCTGACTATACAAAAAAATTTCATTTTCTTTAGTATAACAAATGGTCCTTTGATAGGCAATCTTCTTCTCATGAGGGAGGAAAGAACCTCCAGAGTTTGAGCAAAACGTTTTGGTGACAAATGAATTAATGTAGAGATTAGCTACATGATATTAGGGACAATATGGTTCTGATAGTGCTTTTCTTCCTGTACTTTCCCTAACATCAGGATCATCTTTTAGCTACCTCTTTTTTATTTTCTCTCCAGAAGCATTTTTTTTTTAATGCTTGTGGATTCATTGGTCCACAAGTGCAGCTCTGGTAATGTCTTGGTACATTCAAACGACAGGACCCTGATTTTCTTTTTCTTTGTTTCACTATTTACTGTCTTTTCATTGAAACGCATTTCTCACCTTGGTCACGGCAAACCCTCCTGATGACTCTTACTGTTGCTGTCAGAATTATCCAGCATGGCAGAGAGGCCCTTCATGGTGTGGACCCTCCTCACTTCATTGTTCTCACCTCGCAGTCCTCACATTTCCTCCAGCTGCAGTAAACAGCCTGTAGATGTATCATTCAGGTTCCGTAGGGGTGTGGCATATCCTGCCTTGACCTGGTGTTGTTCAATGTTGTCCATGTACCCACTTGTATCAGCCGAGGTCCCAGCACACAGACGGGGATTTGAGGAGAACTGAATAAACAGCACTACTTATTAGGGTGTGGGAGGTGTAGAGCACCCGCATAGATAAAGTAATATTCTGGTGGGGCATTGGTCCTGGCCCTAGGCTGGAAGGTGTGAGGGAAAGGAACCCTTATCAGAACCTGGAAGCAGAAAGCTATGAAGACAGTCAGCTGAATGAGTGGTGACACTTTGAGTACAGAAGCAAAACCTCAGAATGGCAATTCCTCGGGGGGAGTTGGAAACAAAGTCTCCTCTCTTCGGTCTCCTCCCTTCAATCCCCTTTCTTCCATCTCTGCAAGTGCTCGCTTTCGGCTGAACCCCACTGGATGCCACAAGGCAAGGGAGCTCCTTGATGCAATCCATGGTGGTCAGCCCCTAGGGCACAGAATGGGGAAGGAGAAATGTGGCTTGGGAGAGTAAATGAAATACCATATCACACTTGCCAGATGGCTGCTGTCAATAAGTCACCACACAACAAGTGCTGGTGAGGATGTGGAGAAAAGGGAACCCTAGCATACTGCTGGTGGGAATGCAGACTGGTGCGGTCACTATGGAAAACAGTGTAGAGTTTCCTCAAAAAACTAAAAATGGAACTGCCATTTGACTCAGTGATCCCACTTCTAGGAATATATCATAAGAACCCAGAAACACCAACCAGAAAGAATATATGCACCCCCATGTTCATAGCAGCACTATTTACAATAGCTAAGATCTGGAAAGAGCCCAAGTGCCCATCAGTGAACGAGTGGATAAAAAGCTGTGGTACAGGACTTCCGGTCAAGATAGCGACGTAGGTAAACACAGTATCATGTCCTCCCACAACCACATCAAAGTTACAACTAAACTATAGCACAATCATCATTCAAAACCACCTGAAATCAAGCTGAATGGAAGTCCTACAACTACGAAATTAAAGCAGCAGCCACATGGAGACCGGTAGGACGGGTAGAGGTGGACCGGCTGGTCCCACACCCACGTGTGGCGGATACAAATCAGGAGGACACCTCGGCTGGGAAGGTCCTCCCCGAGGACGGAGGGGTCCCCGTCCCACACCAGGTGCCCCGTTCAGGGTTCCAGTGCCAGGCAGAGAAGTCCCCATAACTTCTGGCTGGAAAAATCAGCAGGAACTGAGGCTCAGGGAGGCTGAGGCAGCTGGAGCCCCAGGCAGCTCCTTAAAGGGCCGGCGCACGGACTTATCGGACTCACTTCCTCTAAGCTTGGAGGGGAGGCAGCTCGAGGGGCAACAGAGACATACAGGGAAGAACTGAGTTGTTTGGCATTGGAGCGAGGACTGGAGAGGGGGCTTTCTCCTGGACAAATGTGCTGTCAGAGGTCTTTGTTCCTTTGGTGAGCCCTTCCCAGGGACGGCAGACAGTCGCCATATCTGGGACTCCAGCAACCTGGCTCACACTGGTTGCCCTGCCCTGGTGATTCCCTGAGGCCCCGCCCCACACAACTTTCAGGCCCAGCCAAGCTGTTGACAGTTGCTTATCCATAGGATTGGCCTGTCTTGGATCCTGCTTCAGGTTTTCCTAAATTCTTTCAAACAAGCAGTATCTGGTCTCAGGTAGCCCCATACCTCTTGTTAAGTAATACACAGAAACAAACACAGGGAGGCAGCCAAAATGAAGAGACAAAGAAACAGGTTCCAAATAAAAGAACAGAACAAAACCCCTGGAAAAGAACTAAGCGAAATGGAAATAAGCAACCTAACAGATGCTGAGTTCAAAATACTGCTTATAAGGATGTCAATGAACTTAGTAAGAACCTCAGCGAACTTAGGGAGGGCCTCAAGAGCATAAAAAAGGACCAGTCAGAAATGATGGATGCACAGTCAGAAACGAAGGAGGCACTAATTGAAATAAAGAATAATTTACACAGATTCAATAGTAGAGTAGGTAAAGCAAAGAAGCAAAACATTGGTTTGGAATATAAGGAAGCAAAAAACACCCAATCAGAACAGCGAAAAGAAATAAGAATCCAAAAAAAATGAGGATAGTGTAAGGAGCCTCTGGGACAACTTCAAGCGTGCCAACATTCACATCTTGGGGGCGCCAGAAGGAGAAGAGAGAGAATAAGAAATAGAAAACCTATTTGAAACAATAATGGCAGAAAAATTCCCTAACTTGGTGAAGGAAACAGACACACAAGTCCAGGAAGCACAGAGAGTACCAACCAAGATGAACCCCAAGAGGTCCACACCAAGACACATCATCATCAAAATGCAAAAGGTTCAAGACAAAGAGAGAATCTTAAAAGCAGCAAGAGAAAACCAATTAGTTACCTACAAGGGAGTTCCCATAAGACTGTCAGCTGATTTCTCAAAAGAAACTTTGCAGGCCAGAAGGAGTGGCAAGAAATATTCAGAGTGATGAAAAACAAGAACCTACAACCAAGATTACTCTATCCTGCAAAGCTGTCATTTAGAATCGATGGCCATATAAAGAGTTTCCCAGACAAGGAAAGCTAAAGGAGTTCATCACCACTAAACTATTATTATATAAAATTTTGAAGGGTCTTCTTGAAGAAAAAGATAAAAAATATGAACAAACAAAATGGCAATGAATACATATCTATCAACAATTGAATCTACAAACAAAATGAACAAGCAGAACAGAAACATTCTCATAGATACAGAGAAATTTTGTTGGTTGCCAGATGGGAGGGAGTTTGGGGGAATGGGTGAAAAAGGAGAAGGGATTAAGAAGTACAAATTGTTTGCTAGATTGACAAACCTCAAAGGGAAGGGGGGTTGGGGAGATGGGAAGAAATAAACCAAAGAACTTATATGCATATATGCATAACCAATGGACACAGAGGACAGTGTGGGAAAAGGCAGGAGGGTGGCGGGAGTGGGGAGGAGGGGGTCAATGGAGGAAAAATGAGGAATGTCTGTAATACGTTCAACAATAAAGATTGAAAAAAAGTTGTGGTACATTTACACAATGGAATACTATGCAGCTGTAAAAAAGAAGGATCTATTACCCTCTGAGACAGCGTGAAGGGACCTGAAAATTATTATTATTATTTTTTTTTTATCCTCACCCGAGGATATTTTATTTTATTTTTTTCCATTTTTTTTGTACAGATAGAGTGGAAGGGAGAGAGAGAGAGAAACATCGACGTGAAGGGACACATCGAGTGGCTGCCACCCGCACGACCAACCAGGGCCGGGGACAAACTGCAACCGAAGTACGTGCCCTTAGCGGGAACCGAACCCGGGTCTCTCCGGACCGCAGGCCGACGCTCTAACCGCTGAGCCAAACTGGCCAGGGCTGGACCTGAAAATTATTATGCTAAGCGAAATAAGCCAGTCATACATACCTGGCAGGGGGGATACCATGATCACAAAGGTGGTTTTCCCAGGGCAAGGCAGCTTTCCAGATGTGCTGACCCCTGCCATTTCCCCAAATGTGGGAAATTCAACTGCATACTTTGTGGTAGTTGGGAACTGTGTTCACACTCTTTCCTAAAAAAACAGAAAAGAAGCCAGGCAGAGAAAGACAAATACCATATGATTTCACCTATATGTGGAATCTAATGAACAAAATAAAATGATGAATAAAATAGAACCAGAGGCATGAAAACATGAAATAGATGGACAAATCTCAGAGCAAAGGGGGGTGGGGGTGGGGAGCAGAAAGAGATTAACCAAATAATTTATATGCATATATGCATTGCCCATGGACACAGACAACAGGGTAGTAAAGACCTGGGGTGGGGCAGAAAACAGGGGGAGGGGGCCAATGGGGGGACAAAAGGAGGGGATATCTGTAACACTCTCTACAATAAAGATTTAAAAAAAGATATCTCGCATGCCCTGTAGTAGAATCACCTCAGGACTTGTTAAAGAAGCAGAGTGTTGAGGCCCGTCCTGCCTGCTAAATCAGAATGCCTGTTGTTGGAGCCCAGGGATCTGCATGGAGCAGAAACAATGAGCCACCCACTGAGGAGCTTAGCTCCACTTTGTGTCAAGTACAGGCTGGAAGTGGCTGTGCAATCAGGGACTAATTTATATTGAGGTGAAGCCATATGACAAGGTTTCACTAATGGATGTCAGTGGAAGTGAGTATATGAATTTCAATATTCTCCCTTTCCCCTACCTATCTAACACAGATAACTCAGACACCCTACAGCATAGTAGAACCACAAGGTGAAAGGAGTTGGGGCCCCTGGTCATCATGAGGAGAAAAGCATCCTACCAACTAGGGGATCACAAGAAATAAACTTTGAAAAAAGTTATAAAACATTTAAAACATTAACAAAATTAGAGAGAATTATGAATCACATTTACCCATCACCCAGATACAACAGTTATCAAGACTTTCCATATTAGCTTGACCATCCCCTTTGTCTTTTTTTTTGCTAAAATATTTCAAAGTATATATCAGAAATTGTGTCATTTCACCCTTGCATACTTCACTATGCAGATCTTAAAAAGAATGTGCTCTTACTTAACCACAATACTAGATGATACCTAAAAAAATTATTAACAATTCTTTGGTATCATCTATAAAATCTATGCATTACATTTGATTGTTGTATATCTTGCTTATAGAGTTGTTCCCTTTCCCAACATCCTTGTCTTGTTGCAGAAAGTGAGTCAGTTCTGCAAAATGTGCCCCATTCTGGATTCGTCAGTTTGCTTCCTTGTGTTGTTGTCTCTTAATTTGTTCCTCTATCCCTGTAATTTCTGTAAAGGCTTGCACTAGAGACTCTAGATTCAAGTTCAACTTCTCCTATCAGAACACTTTATAGTATTAAATGGTGTTTTGTTTGGTAAAAATGCAGAATATTAGAGAAATACTAGCTATTGTAGCAAAGAGCCCCAAGTATTTCAAACAGATCCTGCATTTGAAAACAAACTAATCTGGAATGTCTTCTATCCTCTTTGCTAGATTCTCTTATCTCTTGGAACTCAGCTCAGGAGAGATACTGAACATGATGAGAAACTTACTAACATCTCCCTTCCTTAGTAAGGACTAGTATTATTTGCCGCAAAAGATTTGTATGTCTCTATAGTAGCACTCATCATATTAGTGATATATATGGTAGTATTACAAGATGGGACTCTGTCTCAGTTTTTGCTGAGGGGCAACCAACCAATCCTGTATCCAAAGTGAGGTACTGTAGGCCTATGCAGAACTTGCAAAGGAGTTGGTTAGAAACCCACACCTATATGTTCAATTAATCTATGACAAAGGAGGCAAGAATGTACAATGGAGCCCTGGCTGGTTTGGCTCAGTGGTTGGAGGGTTGTGGGTTTAATTCCCGGTTAAAGGCACGTACCTGGGTTTCAGGTTTGATTCCTGGCCCCTCCCTTCTACTCTATCTGAAAATGAATGAAAAAATACCCCTGGGTGAGGATTAACAACAACAACAAAAAAGAATGTAAGAATGTACAATGGAGTAAACATAGTCTCTTCAGTAAATGGTGTTGGGAAATCTGAACAGCTAAATGCATAAGAATGAAATCAGACTACTATCTTATACCATATATAAGAATAAATGGATTAAATACTTAAATATAAGACCCCAAACCATAAAACTCCTAGAAGAAAATATAGGCATTAAACTCTTTGACATTGCTCTTAATATTTTTTTGGATATGTCTTTTTGGGCAAGGAAAACTGAAGAAATAAACAAATGGGAATACATCAAACTAAAGAGTGTTTGCACAGCAAAGGAAACCATCAACAAAATGAAAAGACAAACTACTGAATGGAAGAAAATATTTGCCAACAATATATCCAATAAAGGGTTAATACTCAATATACAGGGGTTGGCAAAATTAGGTTTACAGTTATGAGTATGTGAAACACAATTTATTCTTTTTTACAAAACTGATTTTATAAAGAGGAAGGAAGAGGGACATAGATAGAAACATCTATGAGAGAGAATCATCAATTGGCTGCCTCCTGCACGCCCCCTACTGGAGATCGAGCCTGCAACCCAGGCATGTACCTTGACCAGGAATTGCACTGGCAACCTCTTGATGCATGGGACAATGCTCAACCAACTGAGCCACACTGGTTGAGCAGTTTATTCTTGTATCACTATTTATTAATTATTGTATTATTTATTTGTGTTACAAATGTAAACCTATTTTTGTCAACCCTTGTACATAAGAAACATACAACTTAACCCCCCCCAAATAATCCAATTAAAATGTCAGAAGGCCTGACTAGACATCTCTCCAAAGAGGATATACAGAATGTCAATAGGTATATGAAAAGATGCTCAGCATCACTAATCAGTAAGGAAATGTAAATTAAAACCACAAAGAGATATTACCCATACCTGTCAGAATGGCTATCATAAATAAATCAACAAACAATAAATATTGACAAAGATGTATAGAAAAGGGAACCCTTGTGCACTTTTGTGGGATTGTAAATTGGTGCAGTCACTATAGAAAACAATATGCAGGTTTCTCAAGCATTAAAAATGGAACTACCATATGACTCAGCAATCCCACTTTTGAGTATTTATCCAAAGAATTTCAAAACACTAATTTTAAAAATCACATATGCAGCCTTATGGTTATTGTAGCATTATTTCCAATACCCAAGATTTGGAAGCCACCTAAGTGTCCATCAGTAGACAAATGAATAAATTAGATGTGGTACACAGGTACGATGGAATATTACTCAGCCAGAAGAAAGAATGAAATCTTGCCATTTGTACAACATGGGTGGACTTGAAGGGTATTGTGCTAAGTGAAGTAAGTCAGACAGAGAAAGACAAATACTACATGATTTCACTTATATGTGGAATCTAAAAACAAAATGAACAACAACAACAACACCTTCAGAAACAAACTGATAGATACAGAGAACAAACTCATGGTTGCTTGTTGGAAGGGAGTTTGGGAGGCTGGGTGAAAAAGGTGAAGGAATTAAGATGTGCAAATCACCAGTTACAACAAAAGTCATGGGGATGTAAAGTACAGCATAGGTAATATAGTCAATAATATTGTAATTACTATGTGATGCCAAATGAGTACTAGACTTACAGGGTTGATCACTTCCTAAATTATATAAATGTCTGATCATTATGTTGTATACCTGAAACTAACATAATATTGTATGTCAACTTTCACTGAAAATAAATAAATAAAAATAAAAAACAGGTTTTATTCCCTGGCCATATCTAGGCCATATACTTGAGAATTAGGAATTCAGTCAAGAAATTGGAACTTAGGAAAGAGGATTTCTTTAGAGAGGGTTATTAATGCGCTGTAAGGCCTTTTCTACATCATGAAAGAAGAGTGGAGGGTTCTTTCTCTTTCCTCAAGCTTAATGATCAGGGCTTCCATGAACTAGGAGAGTCTAAAGGGTCTAAAGGCAAGAAACTATGGTAATTAGCCAGATGCAGCGGAACAAAGAGAGCTTGGCCAGGCTGCATTGGGAGCCAGCTGCAACTGCCTTGCCAGATCAGTGTTCCTGCCGGGTGCATGGAGAGAGCCAGCTCAGAGCTATTTCAAATTCTGCCCAAAGGGATTCCCCTGGGGGTGGGGTGGTTACTCCAAGTGAAGAGATATAATAAGCAGCCACCCCCCCCCCCCAAAAAAAAACTTCATCCATGTCAGAAGAGGTTCCCTTGAAGTTCTCAGTGTGGGGCCTCCAGATACCCCACAGGAGACTCTGTCACCAAACATCTGCCCTGGCCTGAGGAAACCAATGTGACATTACCTGAGTGCCTGCCAATCCCGTTCCTGCCTCTGAGCACAGCCCCAGTCTCCACCTTCACTTTAGGCTCCAGCCTTACAGGACCCAGAGGCAGCTAAGTGAGTGGGGAAGGAGGGATGGGCTTCTGGGAGGGAGACGGAGACACTGCCCAGGCCTCTGGAGTAGGCTCACACTGGAGGAAGGAGAATTTTAAATTTTAAATTTTAAATGAAATTTGGACTTTTGACGGTATAAATTACTGAAAACAAGACTTTTTTCCCCTCTAGAATTGACCAGAGGACTTCATTATTTGGGACGTACCAAAAAGAGTCCCGAGATTGTTCCAGATTTCTTCCAAGGGGCAAGAAAGACTTGTTCTCCAGAGCAAGTTAGAACAGCTAGTTGGGGAGCAGAATACCATTTCTGATCACAGCCTTGAGACCCCCTCTTCAACTCAATGTCTCATGTGTCCAATTCTGCCACCAGACTGAGCTCCCCCTAAGGGCAAAGACCATCCTATCAAATTTTATTTTTTAAAAAGTTATAGTGCATAGGCATTTTGTTAAGTTCTGAGAATTAGAGCATATGTGGTAGAAATATATTATAGTTTAGTACATATTTAATCCTTTAGGTCTAGATCTCAAACTAATCTGTTTCCTACTTTATCCATTCCAAAGTACTATAAAACAAGTACCTGCATCTGTGCATGCCGAAGAGAGGAACTAATTTATCAAAAGAGTAATTATTGCACAATATTCAGTGGTGAGATTGAGTTACTTTTCATGTAGAATAAAGCTTTCTC